TTTATTGATGATCTCGGTTGGTGGCCATGATGAGGAAATTTGAGCCAACACTTCGGTTTACGAATGGATTTTGTTTTGATGCTAATCGCGGGATCGATGATGCACGTGCTGAGGCTGAGAGGGTGATTGCCCACCGTTTTGAACGGCGACGGCGGTCTCCACTTTTCGTTTGGACTCGCGGCTCCGTTTACGGTTGGTATTCCACTTTGGTGAGTACGTTCCTCTCCTGATGATCTCAACTGTTCGTTGTTGTTGATGACTTGTTGCTTGGTTGTCCCTGTTGGCTTTCGTGATTTGGGAGTTTTGAGTTCTTGTTGAGATGCTTTTGCTGATAAAAAACGGCGTTGTTGGTTAGGCGTTTTTGACCTCTCTCCTTTTTGTGTTAGGGTTTCGTCTCCTTTATACTGTTCTTTTTTCTTCTTCTGTGGGTTGGATCGAAACTTTTATTGCTTGATGACTTTGATACGATTCTGATTTTATCTGATTTGATTTTATTTGGATATTGTTTCTAATACTGGATTTGTTTGGTTTGTTTTTCAGATACTGATTGGATTCATTCCGATACAGTTTGGATTTGAAATTGGATATGCTTTCTGATACGGATTGGATTCATTCCGATACTGATTCTGTTTTCATTTTTCTGATAAGATTCGGATTCCTGATTTCCAGCTGATACAAATTGATCTTTTTCTAATACAATCTGGATATTGTTTTTTTGCTGATATGGATTCTTTTCCTGATGCAGTTTGGATTAACTTTTCCTCTTCTTCTTTCAGAGAGAGCTGGTAGTTCGGATATTGCCGGATTGGTGCCGCCGAGAGAGGTTCGATGCGGTGATGATGACATTCCAGTCTGAACCGACCAGGGAATTGATATTGCTGCTTGTCGCCTTCGATTATGTTGCGACGGTTGCTTCTGGTTTCGACTGATATGACTGTTTGTTTGGTTTCAGAACTAATGTTAAAACTGATATTTGGGTTTGCATACTGATGAACTAAATTTGCTGATGCAGTTTTGAATTCGGGATATCGAGCTTCAATTCAGTTTGGATTCAGTTTGAACTATTGCTGATATCGGTTTGGTTTGGCATCAGTCCCTGACTTTTTCCTGCTACTACTTGGTTACCCATTTGTGAAGTCTGAACTCGGTTTCGACTTGGTTGTTCCATGAATATCAGTTTGGGATCCAATTTTACTTGATAGTATCCCGCCATATTTACTTGATAGGAGCATTCATTTGAATCCAAATTCGGCACAAATCATTTCGGCCCGCACTTCTTTTTACTCTTTCTCTTTCTCGGCTGTCTTGTTAAAGAACAGATGCTATCGGTTGTACGTCGAGGTCGAGTTTTGGAAGTGGGAGTCGGTCGCGTCTTTGGTCGTGCCCTCCCGACACCCGATGATGACTTTTCTGAGGGTGTCAACATAATTTTAACTCATTTTACTGCTTTTCTGTTTTGTTTCTTTTGTGAGCAGGTGCGAAGAAAAGTCGATTGAAGGAACACGAAGAATTCAATCGGGAAAACGAGCATGAAGAACTTTAGGAGTTTAGGATTTTTAGAATGAAAATGTATATTTACATTCTCTTTGTAAATTGTAAAAATAAAATATTATGAAATAAAATTCAATATATTTTTCCATCCAAATCACTTTTCGGTTCATTTTCCATAGTTTGAATTTCTTGCAACCGAATAAACCACAAAAATTTCGATTAAATCCAACTCAACTGAGCATCTCCGAATAAATTACAATGATTAAAACTTATCAACTGAACTTTTTGAATGGGTTAACTTCACCGAATAGAATCATGTAAGTCCCATAAAATTATCCAAATCAACTTTGTCGTCCTAACATATGTTGACATTACCTTTAATTCCAACCCATAAACCAACTCGGCCCATAAATCTCGATCAAACATAAATCGAAACCCGAATTCGAATCAGACATTTTACTGTTCCTTTTCTTTTGAAGTTTAAAATAGCAGAAAGCAGAGGAAGCAGAGAAATATGCGCATGTGGAATAACTCATGGAATAAATGCTCGTACCGTTTTAACTGAACCAAAGTTGACGTCTCAACATAATCTAACCCACGTGACTAAGCAACTGTCCTGAAAGCGACTGACAACAGGAATTCGGCCCCTAAATAAATTACCGTATACTGAAAACTCTGATGCCCAAAGTTCACTGTAAATTTCTGTTTATTCTCAAAATAAGGAAATCGGAGACGGAGATTTTAAATTGTTCCGAAGAACCCTGGCGAAAGCTCATTTTCAAAAATTGTCGGTAAACAATGCACAAATTACCATTTTGCCCTTTTCATAACCAAAACGCCTCAGATGCACTTCCTGCAAAACAAACAGACTATGTAGCCCGTTAGTGGTTAGTTGATGCAAAAAAAATGAGATGCTATGCGATATGAATCGGCTAAATATAAGGGTAAAATTTTGGGGTATTACTTGAACTATAGTGGTTTCAACAGCAAGGAGGTGGGATCTTAAGGTCAAAAATTAGGGTGCAACACATAGATAAAATCATGGCTCCATGTATGATAGCAAAAACTTGGGGGCAATTTTTCCAAGCAAGCCAAACGGTCTAATTTAGAGCTTCGCGCTAAAGTATGGTGTCGCACCATCTCTACTATTCGCATCCATCCAACAGTCATCGCACTAGGCATCGCGTTCACCAGAGATAGTTCTAACCGTCAATTTATATAATTGTGACTTTGTATCACATCAAGGTACGATTCACTACATACTTACACGTTTCATCTCTCTGGCTTTTCTAACTTGGACATTCTCCACTAGAAATATTATATTTTATGACAAAACTTTCACCTCACCCAACAAAAAACCGAGGTAAATTCCATGATGTGTTTTGTTATTTGTTTTTCAAGAAATTATCATCTATTCCCTCGGTTTAATAATAAAACCGATGGATAAACTAATTCAGGGTACATGCTTCAAGTCCCAACAACTATAGCTTTTGTTTTTTCTTTAAAAGTGTTATCTTTCTTATTATTTAAAATTTTATTTTATTATTAATATTCTATTCTCTCGGTTTCTCAAATAATAAAGGGGTATGATACCCATATTTTACTGTAAAGGGTTCATTCACTAAGTTTTACCATAAATCCAACTCATAAGTTCACCCGCTCCATACTCTTAAACATCATTATGTCGGATGGATTGCGAGACAAAAAAAATTATGGTTATGTGTTGTTGTTCTTCTTGCACCAACCTTTGACGAATCATTTTTTGTTCTTGCAATCTATCTCACGTAATGGTGGTGTTGTTGTTGTTCTTGTTATTGTTCACGTCAATGTTTGATGGAATAAATTTCCAATGTTATCAATCAAAAAATAAATTCTATAATATATATATATATATATATATATATATATATATATATATATATATATATATATATATATATATATATATATATATATATATATATATATATATATATATATATATATATATATATATATATATATATATATTGATTTCTTCGGTTGACAATATTAAGAAATTTATTCTTAATCATATTACAACACATAAAGAAATTGGTGAATAGTAAAAAATTGAAAAATGAGACAATGCATGTTACTTCTATTTTTTTCCATTCACCATTTTTTTGGCAATAGAATTCATCTATTATCTTGGTTCTTTTAAAAATCGAGGTCAAAAGTACCAAACTTATTGTAATTTTTATTTTAAAAGAAATTTTTTTACTTCGGGTTTAATTCATAACCGAAGGAAAAAATAAGTTTGTTTATTGAGTTTCTTTACAGTTCTTAAACAAATCTTTGTCGTCTATTTAGTGAGTAACAATGCTCATGACACGGTCACTAGTGATTCGCGTGAAACCTTAAAGATATCCATTCAGAAGGCTTATGCCACATTATAAAAGCGTCTTGAATATCAAAAATTGATCATGAAAACATTGAAACTTATTTGTTATATATCATAAACATTGAAGCATTATTCTCTGTGATTGATTGCTAAAACAGAAAAATATTTGGATTAAAAGTTTGTGTTCTTAAATAATCATATAAATGAATATTAATGTTATTTATCTAACCTTTTTTTTATATCAGAAACAAATGCATAAAATATTCAACATTTGATCTTCTCCAAAATTCAATGAAATCAGGATCTAAAATTTATTCTTCACTAAGAATCAATATTTGATCTTCACTTAGTTTGATGTCGATGAATTGAATTTAAAATTTGTTATATATTTTTACTTTAATATTACAAATAATGTAATTTGTAAACAATTTAATTTAATATTATATATAAATAATGTAATTTGTATTTTAAAAAATTATATTTTCTCTCGATTTTGGTGATAGTTTTGAAAATATAAAAATGTTGTTGTTTGGAATCGAACCAATGACTATTTTAATTATCCTCTTAGTAAATCAAAAATTGATGGATAGAGTGACAAATTTTTTTGACACCCTTCATTATCACGCTTGTATCACCGAGATAAAATTCCATTCACATCTGAGATAACATGTATTTTTTATAATAGTGATTAAAATACTAAACTTACATGTACGCCCCCTTGTTCGGTCACTGAATACATCTATCGCCGCACCAAAGACCTCTCACAATAATTTTTTTCCATTTATTTCCCATTTTCTCTTATGTGCCAAAATAGTAACCAAATAGATTCCAACATACAATTTGATCTGAGTGGAACTCTGCTCAATTTCCTTAAGCAAAGTATCATATTTGAGTCTTATCTTGTACAATATATGAAAAAAAAATAATGGTTGGAAGAGGAGATCCTTCTCAAGGTGGCTAACAAAATTCTCTAACATAGATTAGTCATCAATAAAATTAGTGAGTACATCACACCAATAATATAATTAAAATAAAGATCAAAAATGATGATTACTATCATTATTATTTTGAATGTTCTTAAGCAATTGCTACAAAGAATTGATATGTGAAGTGAAGTATGTCATTTATGAATTATGATCATACATATTCAACATTTAGTTGATGCCACAGCTCTAGCCCAAAACTTGATATGCTTTTTCATATCATCTGCAGACATATTATCCCCCCAATTTGGAACAGGAGGAGTTGCACAACTTTGCACCAACCATGCCTCTGATAAATAAGGACCTCTTGCTGCTTTATCTTCCTCACTCTCATCTCTATTTTTCTCTTGCAAACCAGGAATTATGTTAGCTAAACTTGGACTTAATGCTTCTTTCTCAAATGAAAATCCTAAATCTTTGAACCCTTGAACCTCTTCATACTCAAGATCACTTAAGCTTCTCCTTATTGTTTTTTGATTTAGAACCTTTCTCCTCATGTCCATGATACCCTCTTTGTTTAAGCTTTCAACTTCAATGTTTTTAGATGGTCTACATCTTGGTATGCTACAACTCTATCAATAGAACAACAAAACATATACAATGAGTTCGGTTCGAAAAACATTCAAGTTTGTGTTTGGTTCTGCGGTGACGAAAATTGATTCTTCTTAAAAATGAACTGAATAGAATTTGATTCATTAAATCATAAAAGAGTATAGATATGATAACTATAGTACCTTAGAGGTTAACCTTGGAGGCAACTTCTCACTATTGGTAGGTGTTGATGGTTGTTTCTTGGATCTTCCAATTCTAGGATAAGTTTCTTGAGACTTATCCTCTCTCCCTATTGATGGAGGCAAAGATGGCGTTCTCAACAATTTGCTTTTCCTTCTATTACAATCACTTCTATGATGAAGTCCTTTCATCTTTGCACAATGATGTTGTTTACTAGGATCCAATGGTTGATGCACCAATTTGCTTCCTATTTTATCATCCTCTTCATCATCTTCTTTTTTCACTCTAATTGGTGGCATAGATGGTGTCCTTTGAAACTTGTTAGAACAAACAAAAGCACTTTTGTCCTTGACCAAAAACTCTGAGTCTATAAGCCTAGTGGAAGGGTAAGGATCAGAGTGAGACCTTAACATCTTTGGTTTTATATTCAACAAGTTATCAAAGAACCAACACTCCTCAAGAAGATTCATTGCTTCCACTTTTTCATCTTTACAAAAAGAAGATTCACAAGAGCTATTATCATTTGGATCCATGAGTGTTTCAACTTTTCTCTAACTTTTTCAACACTTGATGTATGTATTATGAGTTTATTTATATGAGGTCTTTTTGCATCTTGTGACACTGAATTTTTAGTTAAATTAATTGTATGTAGGTAGTACAATTGTTATTAATATTTTGACTATATTAAAGCATGATGATTGAATTGAAAGTATGCTTCTAGAAAACCCATGTGAGATATGTCACCATGTGCTTTATATTGTCCTTATACAATTTTTCTATTTAGGCATAATGAACTCAATGGTCCAAAAAATAAGTTTTGTATGATAGAGAAATGTATTTATCTATAGCATTCAATGTTCTCTAGTAGTGGCTATTCTGGAGCTATAATGTCGCCGAATTTGAACTATTATATAAGTGTTATCATCGTATAAAAATCAGAATCGTCTCAAATTTTTTAATTTATAACAGTTTAACTGTAACAAATATTTTTTTAAAATCTTATTTAATCACAGTTTAATTATGAAATATGTGTAATAGACCGTCTTGCACATAATAGAAGAGATGGGCGAGTAGAAAGATGGCAAGTGGGGTTATGTAGCATTAAATCTCCACAACTAGAAAATAATTGGTGGGGACAATATCTCTGGAAGTGGCTCTATCATGCCAGCACATCCCCATGTGATGGAGTTTTTGTTTATACAGCGACTTGACATCACAGAACAAGTTAAATTCATTATTGTGTTTGGTAGTAGATTACAACAAATAATACAATAATTATTATTATTATATTTGTGATAGGTAGAGGGTATTGGAGGGCATGATGCAAAGATGAAAGAGGTGATAGATATGTTAGCATGTAATTGAGGAAGACCTTTATTCCTTCCAATACGTTTATGACTTTGGCTTCTTTTTTTTTTCATTCTCACAAGTCACGACGACAATGTTCTTAGCTGTCCAAATATTATGAGTTCTAAGAGGAATAAAAAATGTATAAAAGAGATGCTTATTAAGGTGTTTGATTGATGTTGGAAAAATCATGTGACACTAGAGTAAAATAAGTTGTTACGTAAGAAGGTGAGTAGTCAAATTTAATAAGCAAAATGAGATTTATATATTTTTTTTTATAAGATTTAATTTACATTTTTACGATCAATGTATTTTTCTCGAAAAAGTTAATTTAACGAATATATTCTAGATAAATATTGAGCAGCTTTTTACGTTAACAAAAGAAAGAAGTTAAAATTAGAGATCTTCATAAATCTGAACAAGGAATCAAACCAAGTTGATTAACGTATCAAACACCTAGAACATTTTAATTTTATCATTGTTATTGTTAAAATGAGTTAGCATTATAATTGTTAATTGTTTAAGCAATAAATGAATGGGAATCTAATCAAGTCGTTTACACCCTAAGTTAAGTATGGGCGAGGAATAGGAGTTGGATAATATTTTTATATGTTATGCCTTTATTTTTAGAGTGAATACCCATTTTAATCTTTCATAAAAATTGAAGAATTTAAATTATTTTTTGAAAAACAAAAGTCTCCATTAAATTTATTACAAAATTTAACTGAGTTATATTAGTCTCTCAATTATTACTTTTCTTTATATAGACTTATAATTTTTATTTCTAATTATTTTTAAATATTCAAGTTATAAAAAAAAGAATTTGTGAGAAGATGAATGAATTTGCGTCTTTTTTTTTTAATTTTTTAAATTCATAGCATTCACCTGAATGATTTTTATGTTTTTTTGTTTATTCTTTATTTTCAAAGCAATTCTGCATTATCCTAGTTTAGAATTTACTTCTAAATTTCCGACATTCAAACATTAAGATTTAAAGTACAAATGTATTTTCTCAAATCTTTTACACAATATGTCCTAAAAAATTTTCGAGTTTAATCCTGTAAGTGAAGAAAAACTTGTGATTTGATTTACCAAAAACAACAGTAAACAAATCAGCATGTCCGATGGAACTCTTTTGTTCATTTGTATATTAGTTTTGTTCTTCATACATGAAATACTTTCAATGCCTAAGCGTTTATTCATCTAAGAACTGGTAAAACTTTAGTTGAGATGACGTGTTCAAAAAACACTTCCCTTCCCTAGAATAACGCTCTAGATAATGAAGAACAACTAACCGAATTGATGGTTGGTAGTGTAGGTACTTCAACAACCATTGGAGTAACTGCTCCTTTTGTAAGTCGGATGTCGATTTCAACGACATTACTAGAAGCAGTGGTTCCACCGCCATAAGTAATGAGTATTCCAACTACTCACAGGGTCACACAAGAAATAATAAGAGACCCTGGGCATTATTTTCTCCCAAGTTTCATGTTACCCCTGGTGGTAGGGAATATCCATATGGCAAGCCAACTGCAATTATGGCAAGCCTACAAACCAATGCATCTACATATGCATAATGCAATGATTATTGCATCCCCTCTCAATCTATACTTAGCATCGGTATCTTCTATAAGTAACCCTAGTCGAATGGCATAACCATAAAGAGGGTTGGGATATATCCCTCGAGGTATACCACCCCTAACCACTAGTTCCTTCATGTTTGTGAGGCAACAAATGGATGAAAGCAATCATGATATGGTAAATATGCTTACCACCAAATTGTTTTGTGTTTAATCCTTTGATCTAAAACATAAACCATACTTATCAACAATTGGCACATCAAATGGGTCGAATTGTTGATTTTTTCAGCGCTCCTCAAGTGCCTATTCAGCCAATCTCTCAAGCCCAAGCAGTCAGGGGAATTCAAAACTCAGTACTCACTAATAATCAAAGGCAATAATAGGTGATGCCTTAGACCGTTGAACAACCTTTACCTAGGGTTGTCGAACCAAGTATACATCAAATGGCCTACAGGTGGTATTGGTAAATAAAAATCAGGATGCAGACCAAGTGATTTGGAGATTCCAACAAAATAATTTTGGGGAAATAACATAGCAAATATGGTTGAACAAATATTAGACCGAAATGGCCTTAATCTGGGCCTTCATAGACAAAACTTTGTTTCTGCCTTGTCTGAGTATGTGTTGCAGACTGAACTCCCAAGGGGTTGTAACATTCCCAAGTTCACCATTTTTGTAGGTGATACTAATGAGTCTAAAATTGAACACATTGCTTGATATCAAACAGAGGCAGGGGATTTGGCCAATAATGAAAATTTGAAGATGAAATACTTCCTTAATTATTTGACAAAGAATGTCTTCACGTGTTTCACCACTTTACCCCCAAATTCTATATGCAATTGGAATCACTTGGAAAGGTTGTTCCATGAGCATTTTTACATGGGATAAAAATTAGCTGAGTCAATATACGATTATCTCAATAGGTTCAGGATCATGAAGTCAAGATGCTTCACTCAAGTTCTTGAACATGAGTTAGTCAAAATAGTTGTTGGAGGCTTAGACTATTCCATTAAAAAGAAGTTAGATACCCAATTCCTTATGATGTGACCTAGTTGGTAGATAGGGTTAGGCAAATCGAAAAGTTGAAAGCTAAAAAGGCTAGGTTGGATAAATATCATAAAAAATAAAAAATTTCTTATGTGGAAATAGATGAAAACGGTCAAGAATCTAACATAATTTATGAATATGCCAAAGGAAATGATATTAACTTGGCAGAGTTGCAGCCAACACTTCCATATGTTTGCAAGGCCTAAAACCCTCTAATGGAAAAAATATTGTCGAGCCTAGTAAAAATGAAAATTTATTACAAAAACTTATACATTTGATAAATGTGATGAAATTTTTTATCTTTTAATTGTTGATGGTCAAATCATTGTGTCAGAAGGCCTAAAAACACCACCATTGAAACAAAGAAAGAAAATACGTTTTTGTAAATATTATAATTTTCTTGGTCATAAAACCTCATAATGTGTCCTTTTCAAGGATCTTGTACAAAATGCTTTGAAGGGCGGAAGGTTGAAATTCGGAGACAAATCTAAGCAATAAATAAAGATTGATGTTGACCCCCTCAAAGTTCAAGAAGCACATATGGCGGAACCTGTCAAGATTTTGATGGTTGAAACTTCCAAGGATATTAACGAGAAGGTCGAAGAGGTAAGTGTGTTGGATGGTGCATTAAGGTGGTGTATCCCAAGGCAGAAGAGGAACTAGTCGACTTCCTAAATTTTTGCAAGTTGAAGGGTTATGAAGTTATGACATGTCCCTGTTGCAGTGTTATCTTCGACAAGGAGGCCTCCAAGGACCTCGAGAGTGTAAGGCCTCAACAACCAAATAAGAATAATTGGAGTGACAGGAGGCCACAATTTATGTTCAATAAGAAACGAGTCCCATACAAAAATACCAGGAGTCTGTAAATAAGTGGTAAAGTCAAAGGAAGACTTATATCTCATCTACTGTTGTCCCCGTTGGTGAATGGATTCTGTAACGACCCGTATAATATGTATCTAGAATAATATCATACAAGTGTTACTTTTTGGTACTGGCGGAACATAAAATCCTAATGGCATCATTATATACACTTGTCCAAACTAAATACATCAATGACACTTGTTATACAATAAAGTCTAATAATAAAAATCTAAGAACTATATACGATATCTTCATTGTACATAACTCCACAGTGGAAGATCACAATAATCAGCATCCCTTAAAACATCTATGCACATCTCTTCTTGTAATATAACCTGCAAAACAATACCTGAAAAGCAACAACAATATTGAGGTGAGATAATAATCTTAGTGAGTTCCCTATCTTTTGGGTCCACTCGGCTCTACAAGGTTCTAACCAAATCCTAACTCAAGTTTAAAGGGGGAATAAACTTAAGTAAACAAAACTCAAAATATATGAAAACATTGAGTTCATCTAACTCAAACAATCACTAATCGGAAACCATATTGTAATAACCTAAATATCCCCCGCCTAATTTAAATAAATTCATCAGAGTAAATTAAAAATCACGACATTTTGGATGCTATAATTCAACAAACACCTGCTTATGTAATCAGATATGTAATAAATAATGTATTTTAAAAAATTATTAGCAATG